GGGTTATTCATCAAAGTTCTTGTTCCTACACTCCACAACAGAACGAGGTGGTGGAAAGGAAGAACAGACATGTGGTTGAAGTTGCTAGATCCCTCCTGTTTGCATCCCATGTTCCTATAAAATTTTGGGGAGATGTTGTTCTTACTGCTACTTTTTTTATCAATCGTATGCCCTCCCGGGTCCTTAACTTCAAAATCCCCTTTAGCTTACTCTTTCCGGATGAGGATATTTTTTCTCTTCCTCTTTGTGTTTTTGGGTGCACTTGCTATGTGAATGTTCACAGTCATCAAAGGCACAATTTTGAACCTAAGGCTCGTAAATGTGTTTTTTTGGGATATGCTTCCACACAGAAGGGATATTATTGTTTTGATCCAGTTAGTGGCACCCGCTTTGTATCTTGGGATGTCACATTTGCTAAGTTGACTCCTTTCTTTAGCATCTCTCCTGAGGGGGAGAAATCTAAAGAGCCCTTTGCTATGTCTCCAGTTGTTCCTCTTCCCATTCCTCTTGAGTCCTATCACGAGGTGTCTACTTCTCCCACTGGACCTACCTCCGATATTCCTATTCCTCCTCCTCCACCTCATTCTCCTATAATTCCTCCTCCTGTTCTCCAAAGGTGGTACCAAAGGCATAGATTCAGACATGGGCAGGTTGTTTCCACTCCTACAGAAGAGCCTCTTGCTCCTTCCATCATTACTGAGGTAACAGATCAGCCTTCTTCTGACCCATCTACAGCTTTCCCAGACCTTGACCTTCCTATTGCTCTCTGCAAGGGCAAGCGGAAGTGTACAGCCCATTGTATCTCCAAACACTTGTCTTACAGCTTTCTTTCTCCTTCCTACTACTCTTTTCTTGCTTCTGTTTCTTCCCATGTGATACCCAAGTCCATACCGGAAGCCTTATCTCAACCTGAATGGAGGGATGTTATGATGGCTGAACTGGATGCTCTGCATAAGAACCATACCTGGGATATTGTTGACTTGCCTGAAGGGAAGGAACCAGTGGGTTTTAAATGGGTGTTTACCATTAAATATCACTCTGATGGCTCTATTGAGAGGTTTAAGGCTAGGCTGGTTGCTAAGGACTATACTCAAATGTATGGTATTGATTATCTTGAGACATTTGCTCTTGTAGCTAAGATGACCTCAGTCAGGGTTTTGTTATCTCTAGCCGCTATTTTTTACTGGCCCCTACACCAGTTTGATGTTAAAAATGCCTTCTTGAATGGAGACCTACATGAAGAGGTTTATATGTCTTTGCCTCCAAGGTGTATGGGAAGGAAATGCAAGGCAAGGTGTGTAAACTACAGAAATCTATTTACGGTCTCAAACAGTCTCCTCGGGCTTGGTTTGAGAGGTTCAGGACTGCTCTTGTCTCCTTTGGCTACACACAAACACAATCTGATCATACCCTGTTCTTGAAGAGAAATGGATCTCTGGTGACCTTCTTGATAGTTTATGTTGATGATATTGTGGTCACG